AGGAATGGATGTACTTTAATACTTTTAATACTGCAGTACAGTGTAGTAATAAGAGGCTGAGACCAAATGGAATCTACGTCTGCTCAGTTACTGAACCGAAAAACTACAGTTTTTAAAGTCTCTTAAAGTAATGTCCATAAAACAATATTCACACTTTTGATCCGATGGAACAGAAGAAAAAAAAATCCCAGCTTTCATCACTTTAAGTTTGTTATGATTATGCAACAAATTTCATCCAAACAAATAAATAAAAAAGCTGTGATCATTTTCACCACTGATGTTGAATGTTGTAAAGTTCAAACTTGTTTTAAATAGTTTTCTGTTCAACTTCCAGTCAAAAAAACCCAATGTTTTTTTAAGCTCCTGAGGGCCACACAAAACGACATGGCGGGCCACATTAGGCCCCCAGGCCGTGAGTTTGACACAAGCCTTAAATGGAGTGTGAGCCAGAGCAGGATCTAAGCTCAGAGGTTTAGTTCAAACTCCCAACAGAGTCTGTCACTCTGTCCCACTGACACACAGGCCTCACCCTCACCCTCACCCTCTGGCACCTCCCTGTGGTCTGGCTGAAAGATAGCGTCTCTGCTGCAGAGGATCAAGACGAGGGTCTGTCAAAGGGTCTGTCAAAGGGTCTGTCAAAGGCGCGGGACGACGTGGACACGTTCCCTACGGACCATGTCTCCACGTCTTCACCATGGAGAAGAGACTTATCTTCATTCACGTCTCACCCCTGCAGCGTTCTCAGGGTGTTAGTAAGGGGGGCTGGAGGTAATATCCCACCACGCTTTAGGAAGGGGGCGGGGCTTAGTGGGGGCATTTACACACACACACACACACACAAGCTCTTACCTAAATGTCCAAACTAATCTGTTCTGAACCAACTGAGCCAAGTAAAGAAACCCACGCACACAGACACCGGGATCAAACCGTTCAACATTTTGCTGTTAGGCAAGAGTACTACCCACTGTTCCACTATGTAAACCAACCTCGGCCGACCGATATTATTGGCCCAGATATTAGCATATTTTGTGGGGAACTTACCAATTTGGAGACATTGTGAGGACATTTTGGGAAAATCCTAGGGATGTCCGATAAAATCGGTCGACCGATATTAGCATATTTTGTGATATCTGTAAGAATTGGTAGCGTTATTTTCCTCCGTTATTGAAAACCCGATAACTTAATGCCTGGATTTCGCCACCTACAGATCAACAGAAAAAAAAAAACATGCAATTACAACCACGATTATCGCCACCTACAGATCAACAGAAAAAAAACAACAACATGCAATAACAACCACGATTAATCATGAATAATCGTGATGAATGCCCAGTTACCCTGTGATGATTTAAAAATACTAAATTCTACTTCATGAATTCCAGGACTCAAGGTTCTTAGTTGCAATGACAATAAAGAACCTTAAAGAGTCCTTGAAAACACACCGCTACCGTCCAGTACTTGAGTAAAACTACACTACAGTGGAGTCCGCTGTACTTTTACCGTCGGACCCTGCGATGGTCCACTCATCAGACTGAACACCTGTAACTGTGACGTGCTGCGTCAATACCGCGCTCCTTTGTAAACAAAGACATAACTAACGCCGTGTTTATTCCACCGCGGCGGCTTCGCCGTCTCATCGGAGCCCGTGCGAGTACATCATCAGCGGCCGAGTACGAAGAGTCACAGAGGAAATAAGAAACATTTACTCACAGCTGTGGCGCAGCGTAATGCGTGATAAAATAAATAAATGAGACATTCCAATTTCCTCCCACAGACACTCACGGCTTTCCTACTAAAACACGCACCGTCCTAATATTTAACACGAGCGTGCGGCGGACAGAAGACACTGAACGCATCACTGGTCCAAACAGAATCAGATGAAGTCGAAAACTTTGATCCAAAATACAACAGATCAACTTTTTTTTTTTTAGGTTTCTAAACACAACACAAGTGTTTAATATTTACATTTAATCTGTTTTTAATCCAGCAGCTCAGGAAGGTTGAGAATAAAAAACTGACCGTGAGGCCACGTCACTCATTTCCTGTGACATTTGATATAAAATCTTTGCTGCTCCTCCCCTGGAGCCGCAGCCTCACTGTCTTCTGTTTTCTCTCGGCTTTGATGTTGACATCGGTTCTCAGCGGGTGTGACACCATCTGTGTCGCAGTAATTCCTCTTGACACATGACAGACCGAGTTGGTGTCGCGTGATGGATAAGACTCTGAAAACTGCTGAGTACGGATCTGTTTTTCTCGGCGGATTACGCCTCCGACACGTGGTCGTTCCTGATTACGTTCAAATATCAACTACGACCAAAACTTGTGAGTTTCGGAGTTTTTGGATTTCTTCGTATTTGTTCAGTAAACAGTGCTAACGAAATGATCGACTCCAACTCCAACTCCAACAGCATGTGACTCACTCCCTCACCTACAGAGGTCACTACACACCTGACCTTCGGTTAAAGAGGACACGGTCGTTATGTTGTTCCGCTGTTAGCAAGAAAGCCAGAAATGTATGCAGCACTCATGATTTTTGTTAGACAACGCAGAGGTGATAGGGAGCCACATGTGGGTCGAGAGCCACAGGTTGAGGACCTCTTTCCTATACCAAACAGTGCACACACTGTAGGATCATAATTCTGTATCAACAGCCAATAACAACTGAACAAATTAGTCACAAAATGGCCATGTGATTTAATTATCCATGGATGATAGAGTCATGTGATGGGGTCGGGGGGGGTCGCGGGGGTCGCACCGATCACGCAACAGTTGAAACAAAGAGTCCTTGATTAAAGTATAATAATTAAGTCATAACAATTTGAACTTTATTAACCCCATGTTTGGGGTCAAAGTCTTGTGTTGACAGCAGGGGGCCAAACACGTGGTTCCTCCGGGAATCGAACCGAGGACTCTCTGCTGTCTGCTACACCATGGAACCGACTAAAAGCGCGTCTGTAGTTGTGCCTGTGTGTGTACAACGGTGTGTGTGTGAGGGTGTGTGTGTGTGTGTGTGACCGTCCGCAGGGCCAAAGAGCAGCAGACTGATGTGTTTCAGCTCTAGATCACATGCCGGGACTCTTTGGATTATAATCCCACTTGCCAGATTATCGCACGTGTCATGCCGAGCCATGTCCTGCAGGTGGCCACGTCAGGCTCTGGCTACGAGGCGGAGATAACGCGGTAAATGTACGTATAATACTGGAGGAGAGGACAAGAAAAAGGGGGAGGTGGCGAGCTGCTGTCGACCTCCGCTGATGGGGTCAAGCTGTTGATTAAAGAAACGGTGGCACTGCACCTTTATCAGGCCTCTCCAGTCCCACTCTCTGATCCGTTTTATCAGCTCATCCTTCTGTCTCACCGGCATTCAGGGATAAAGGCGGCCGCTGCCACACACACACACACACACACACACACCGTTAGCAAACACAAAGACCTTGGCGTCTTCCCCGGCTCTCTGGGCACACACACACACACACACACACACACACACACATTTACCAACTCTCCTCACCGCTCTCCAGACACACTTGCGTAACGTAACCTTTTCTAAAGCCCCGCCCCCTCGTACAGAACATCACTGCAGAACAGTAGAACAATTAAAAAAAAGAAAAGTAAAAAAGGTGGCGCTGTAATTAATTCAAGAGTCCCTGTTCTTCACCAGCCACAGAGGCTAATGCAAATAGATGTAAATTTAGAACGCTTTCAGAAGAGCGAGAAGCTTCAAGTACTCGTACGGCCGCTCCTCTACATCCTTACATCTGTAAGAGCTGCCTATCTGAAAGGTCGCCTGTTTTACAGGGCGTTCGAGTGCAGTACATCTGCAACTATTTTTTTTTTTTTTAACTCAGAGTTTAGAGTCACTCCCACACAGGTCAGAGGAATTTTTGATGGAATGTAATAGTTATAAAAAAAAACAACAAAAAAATCACGCAGACTCCTACAGTCAGTGCCTTCTGCTGGATTTAAGTTAAAAAAAAAAGTCTTATGTTCAATCAGAAAAAACCTGCAGGGCCGTTCTCACACTCATTTGTCTGACTTTTCAATAAATATTAATAAAAGAGGCAACGATTGAAAAACATAAGTGTAAATCCTGTTGATGAACGATTTGTTGAGGTGACGGGTTGAAATCCTCGCCTGACGACTCGTCTAGACTGGCTGTAATTAATAATGAAGTAAACCATGACAGTTAAGACCTCAGGTCAGAGAAAAAATGTTGGGCGTTTGTTTACTGCACTAATCTGAGGCTGAAGACAAGAAAAAATATGTATGGTTACGATAAAAAAAACCAACAAAAAAAAACAAAATATGTTGAAACAGAAATAAGTGGGAAGTGAAAATGTCAAACTCTGTCACAGAGACAACAACCATTCACACTAACATTCACACCTATGATAGAATTTAGAGCAGGGGTGTCAAACATATGGCCCGTGGGCCAAAACAAGCCCACCGGGGGGGGGTTCAATCTGGCCCAACTTGAGGAATTTCAAAAGTGAAAAAAACAAACAAATGCAAAAACACTTCACGTTCGTTATAAAAGAAGAATTTTTTATAATTAACTTGTACTAATTAGAGTGAAAACAAACATGGATTACGGTTCTTTAGAGGTAATTATGTTATGATTGGACTGGTCCGGCCCACTTGACATCTGATCAGGCTGAATGTGGCCCCTGAACCACTCTGATTTATTACAGGAACCCTGGGATTAATTGAAAAATACCATTTATTTATTATAGTCATTTATTTTTTTTAAATTTTTTTTTTTTTTTAGCAGTTTTTAGCTGTGAGCTCAGTCTTGTCTTTTTGGCCTTGGAAAAAAAAAAAGAAAAACCCAAACAAACTGTGAACCCATGATTACAGAGCCGGCTCAGATGAAAAGAACACGTTCTGCACCATGATTATTACCAGACATTATTTTCCCGGTTCATTTCTTTATTCTCTCCTGTTTAATTCCAATGCGGTCGATACGACTCTTATTTACTGGACGCGTTTTTAATTACTCTAATCCTCAGAGGTCTCTTTGAACAGAGGAATTCTGTTGGGTCACAAATGTACCTTTGATGTCCTCTTCATGTCTTTGATGTTCCTCAAATGTACTTCCAGGCCTTTGATGTCTGAACAGTGTTAAATAAACAAACGGTCGTAGCTTTATCACGCAGGACAACCCCTCACTAAGTTCAAGGAACCGGAACTAAAGAAAAACCTGTAACAGTAAAGAGTCAGTGACCTCAGTGACCTCTATGGGCTGTTTCTGGTAGTACGCAGGGAAATCTACCTTTGTGTTTGGGTGCCAGTTGTAGTACAACAGTACTCTGTATATAGTGTGACGTCTCCACCAGGGGTCTGAGCAGAGACCTCAGGGGCCGAAGACTCAAATAAAACGAAATAAAATCAGATTTTTGTCTAACATTATTATTTTATGTACATTTTGGAATCCAGTCACAGAACATTATTATTTGATGTTTATCCAGTCGCAGACCGGATTGGAAAGCTTTGGCGGGCCGGATTTGGCCCACGAGCCACCAGTTTACAAACTGTAGCGTATCCCTTGGTCTCACTGATGCTACTAGGAGAGACAAACATTTGGTGCTACAGTGGCGCTAGCCATGGTGCTGAAGTTGCACCAATAGAATTAATTTGCGGTGAAAAATTGAGTTACCGTCAAAGTCAAGTTTCACAAAGGAATAAAAATCTGTTCTTAACTCAGACGGATCTCTCTCTCCTCGCGGCGTGAGACGGTCTTTTTTTCTGCACCACTCGATGAACTGCGGTCACATCTTAAGGACATTCAGACCAATCAGACTCTCTCCCCCGTGGGAGACATTTTGACATTTCACAGCCCAAACGTACAGGGGGAAATAAATTAATCACCGCGAAAGAGTCAGTAATGTTATCATCAGCCGGGACCTCTCCCTCTGTGACACGTCAAAATGTCCGCTGTGAAAAAGAGCCATTAAGGCCCCGCACATCCACACAGGTGTGAGTCATTGTGGCTGATTGGACCTGTTCTCTGGTTAATGGTGGCTGAGACAGAAATGACCTTAAGCTAGACTCACAGTGGTCGGGTTTATTTATACAGCACAGGGGCTGTGACAGCCGGAGTCTGACTGCTCTGTACTGAACGGAAGGATGGAGGGAAAAAAAAAAAAACCTTCATTAAAGACGGACTGAAGAAATACTGAATAAATGTTGATGTCTTTTTTTTATATCATTTTATGGGTGAAGTGAATAGACCTGAACCTGAAAATCCTTAAAATCCATCATTTAAAAGACAAAAAAGGAACAAAGTAAAGACTGTTTTTAGGGAACAACAAATAACAAGTGTTTTCTTTCGTCTTGGCTTCAGTGACATTTGTGGTAATAGTTGTTTGATTTTCTTGATCTTTTAAAGAAAAGGCCGTTCCTGGAAGCTTTAGCATCAACTTCTTGACAGGACATGTCTCTACAGCACTGTTTCCCAAAGACTGGGTCGTGACCCTCAGGTGGGTCGCAAGAGATTATTATTTTTTGGGTCGTCTCGCATCATGTTTCCCAGGAGTTTACGAATAATGTCTATCGACTTGGACTGCAAAGGTTTGTGACTTTTAAAATATGGGTCGGCAGAAAAAAAGTTTGGGAAACACTGGTCTACAGGACTCTAACGTTAGCTTCTGAAACACTGGTCCCTTCACACGTACTGTATCCTAAGTTGACCAAAACAACTACTGCAACTCACGTCTGTAATGTGAAACACATTCGTCTGAAGGCCATAGTTTTTCAAACACTAATATTTGTAAAAAAAAATCCATCTTACCTTCCTGTGATGAGGAGGAAGAGGGTGAGGATGACGAGGAGCGTGAAGCCTCCTACGGCCGCAGTGACGATAACCAGCACCTGGCCTTGATCAGAAGCTAGATCTGACGCTGCAGGTGAGGGCAGTAGAGAATGGGTGAGGAGGGGGGAGACAGGAGGGGTGAGTGGGGGAAAAAGAAAAAAACAGAAACAAAAGATCAAGAGTGACAGAAAAAGGAGGGAAATGAAGGAGAAGAGGAGAATAAAGTGGAGTGATACGGGAGGAAAGGGGGAGGCAGGAGGAGGGAGGCAGGAGGAGGGGGGAGGCAGACAGAAAAATGTATTCAGCTACATATTAAAACTGCTTTCCCATTCATGCAGCCTGCATTGAGCCTGTATTCTGTGATGATGGGCAGACGGTGGGAGAGTCTTTCTGATCTGCTCTTTGTCATGCTCCCAGTCAGCTCTGGTTGGGCCGTGATTCATACGCCCGCCGCGCTTTAATTAATATCATTCATTCATGAAATTGTGATTTAGTCCATGATCATTTGGTTAAATTGGTCCCATTTGATATTCATGGTTTTTCCCCTCTCTGTGTCTTGTCACGAGGCTAACGAATCCCGGATAATTGAAAGATGATTGCTATTACCACATTTATTTTTATAATATTTTGTGCTTAATGAGTATGAATTAAAGATCAGGGCGTGTGACCGAGGCACATGTGCCTTTTGACTGTACAGTGTGTGTGTGTGTGTGTTCCAACTGGGTAAAAATAATTATAGATGATTCAGAGGGAGCAGATTACAGCAGACGTTTCTCTCAGCCTCAGCTTCACTCACACGCACTCAGAGCTGAGGACACGTACAAACAGACGTGCAGACCGATTGACTGACAGGTGGACGGACGGAGTGACACCCGGGCTGAGAGCGACTGTGACCAAATCTGCTTGTTCTCTCAGATAAAAGGCCGAGGCGGTACAAAGGCTGGGCCGAGCGGCGTCTGATCCTCAGATAAAGAGCAGCTCTGCAGCTTTTGGAGGAGCCAGAGCCACGTTGAGGCCAAATCACCTCTCAACAATACCTGACCGGACATAAAAGGACAGCCGGACCTTTGTATTTGGTGAGAAGACTCGCAATAAAGCTACTGCTGAAGGAGCACAGAAGAAGAAATATTGATTCAGTACGCTGAGAAGAAAGTGTCGGACCACCAGTTGATTCTCTGTTCTGGTTCTGATATCCTGACCTCTGGACCGCTCCTCCTCTCCTTTTTTTTTAATTATTATTTTGTTGTTTTTTTTTTTACTTTAAACCTAGAGCCAGTGAAGAAGTGTACAAAACATATTTTCGACTTCAGAGTCTAAATGATCTGTTGTTTTGAAACACTGACGTTGAAAAAGTTAAGGGATATGACTGGATCATTTTTGAGTAAAACTCAATTACTGCGACCCAGTACCAGGTGAACTATGGACTGGCACCAGTCCCCGAACCAGGGGTTGGAGACCCCTACTTTTTCAGTGAACCAGGGGTTGGAGACCCCTACTTTTAAGTTTATATAAAAAGTCACCAGTTACCTCTGTATTCGTTCCTACAGTTTTATAACAGGTGATTTTACTGGTTCATGGTGAACGAGCCGCAGACAGAGGGCAGCAGTGGAGGAGGACGGCACCATGAGCTCTGAGCTGAAGCCTGTGTTCTCTCAGTGTTAGCCCCGATGATGTGAACACACAGTTTTTTATTTTTTTTTTTATTTGTTTTCCTACATTTATTTTCCAGTCGTGGGGACCAATTATTTCTCCCTCTGCCCCGGCTCCTCTCTAACTGCCCCGGAGCTGCTCCAAGCAAAGTGAACTCCATCTGACCCTGAGCTGCTGCGGGCGACTGGCATCACCTTACTGCGCCCCGTTGTCTTGACGATGAACAAACACACACACATTAGCGTGTGACATTAAGCATGCATAATAATGAGGGTTTTTTTTTTCTGTCTCGTAAAAAAAGCTACAAATATTGACACAAACGCCGGCGCCTCCTCTGGTACTCACAGTCTCCTGCGGTCTTGTAATCGTACTTTGACGAGTAGGAACTGTATCCCGCTGCAGTTCGAGTGCGTACGCTGAAGGAGTACCACGTGGCCGCCTTCAAACCCGACACGATGACGCTGGGAGCTTTGGTGCGCGTGGACGAGTAGCTCAGCTGTTCCTGTTCCTGTGGGACGACAGAACCGGTCACCACTGAGGGATTCGAACCGACGCGTTCACAGCACAGACAATGACAAAAACTACAGTACACGAGAGGGAAATATAGAGCAGTTATACAGTAATACTGTCAGGTATATATGAGCTGTGCATCCTATAAATACACTTTACAGTACTGCATACTGTACTATGTAATATTTATGAACTGCACTGTAGTGTACTGTTATGAATATATGCAGTATATATGGGAATGTATTTATAACCAGACAGTGTAAATATGAAGCTACGTAGTATATATAAACTTTAAAGTACTTCACTTCTCTTTAGTACTTATATGAATATAAAATATATTATATTATAAAATTATACAGTATATATATTACTTGACAGATGAAGCCTTACTAATTAAAAAACACAAACATATATATGTATATAAATATATACATATATATACATATTATATTTTCTTCAAATTAATCCTTAGGAGTATCTGTACCTTCTCATTGTACTTGATCTCGTACTCCAGGATGGGAGGCACCGCTTGTTCAGGCTGCTGCCAGGAGAGGGCGATGCTGTTGGGAGAGGCCCAGTCCTTCTTCACTGCCCCGATGACAGACGGACCTGGTTTGGACAGAAAAGACACAACAGTCAGAGACAATACGGACAATACGTCCTGGGGGTCAGAGGTGAAGACTGTTCCGGAGGTCATCGAGGGGGGGGTCAGAGTGAACAGTTTAACAGCCAATCACTGGGCAACACACAGAGACAAAAGAACCAAAGACTCATATCTGAAGTCCAGATGGATGGATGGAAGGATGGATGGAAGGATGGATGATAGATGGATGGATGGATGGAAGGATGGATGAATGGATGAATGGGTGGATGGATGGATGGATGGATGGGTGGAAAGATGGATGATAGAAGGATGGATGGATGAATGGAAGGACGGATGGAAGGATGGATGGATGGATAGATGGAAGGATGGATGGATGGATAGATGGAAGGATGGATGGATGGATGGAAGGATAGATGGATGGATGGATGGATGGAAGGATGGATGGATGATACATGGATGGATGGAAGGATGGATGAATGGAAGGACGGATGGAAGGATGGATGGATGGATAGATGGAAGGATGGATGAATGGATGAATGGGTGGATGGATGGATGGATGGATGGGTGGAAAGATGGATGATAGAAGGATGGATGGATGAATGGAAGGATGGATGGATGATAGATAGATAGATGGATGGATGGATGGATGGATGATAGATACAGTAGATAGGTTTCTCTGACAGTGGGAAGACAGGACAGGAATCAAACCTACAACCCAGTGACTGTCCGACAGTAAAGCAGCACTAACTAATCTATGGAGGAACATTGACAGAACAATGGCGTCCGTACAATCACAGTCTGCAGATGTCACTGCCACAGCAGAGTCTAATGTAAATCTGTGGAGAATTCATTTGTTTTATTTTGAATGTGTTCACACTGAGACAATGCCGTGTCCTCGGGTAAAATGTGCTTTTTTTTTCTTGTAAACTTTCTTGGGCAGAGTAGTTATTTTCCCTCCCAGCTTTGACTTAAGGCAAACCTCACCTCAACAAAGTGCCATGAAAATGACGGCTGATGAAAACTGCTGCAGGAGAAGAACATTTTGGCTGAAACTTTTTTTTTTTCACGCTGGTCGGCTGATATTTTCTACTAATCTAAGGGATAAAAACTGAACATC